GCATGTCATCTTTTGTTAGGTCATCCATGGTAGTTTGATAGGGATGTGTGTCATGAGGGGTGTTGGAACGAGTATACGTTCACCTTTTCGAGTAAGAAAATTATACTACTACCCTCCAAGGATGCTCATTGTGTCTCTTCGGTAGGGGACAGTAGTAATTTACTTCCTTGATCTTTGTTTGTGCGTGAGATATTGGCAGAAGGTATTGTGTTGTTCCTGGTGGGAACTGAGGTGACGGGAGTGTCGACAGTTCCTATGGCAGCCGAGGGGACGAGTCTTCACCGCCAAAGCTGTCGCCTTAATATCTGAATTTCATGATGTATTTCCAGAGGTCCTTTCTTAGTGTCTTCCTCCTGCGGGATATACAACACCAAATTGATGTGATACCTGGTGTATCACTACCAAACTTCCCACATTTTTTACACCATTTACCACATGAATCCCATCACTCAATATCTACTCAAAGTCCAGCATCTATAGCACTGTGAAGGCCTTTATGTAGCGCCAACGGTTGAGCATCTTGTGGTGAAAAACGCACTGCTAATCTTCTTGCAAAAGCTGCCAAAACAAACCCAAATTGATCTGTTAACACTACACCCACACCTATGCAGTCAAGATAATTTTGCACTACAGCATTTGTACTTGCTTTAGGAGCTTGCCGATACACATGCTTATCCATGCTTTTATACTTGACAAGTTATTTATAATCGAATGGATGTGTACAATGTACCTATTTTAATGTAATTATGTTAATTGTATGAGAAAACCCGAGTCCAATGTAATTGGCACGAAGAGAGATGATTTCGAGTCAAATTAGAGTTGATTCGGAGTAATTCAAGATCAACTCATTGCACATTATCAATAAGAAGCATTGATCTAGCAAAATATAAGAAAATCACAAGTTTGGGAGCAAAAACCAACATTTAAAAAGTTTAAAGAATTAATTGCAATTATTTAGAATTTGCAACGGATCAATTATGGACAATTGTTGATGACGAGGATCAAAGTGAAATGATTAAAAGATGAAGGACACATGATGCAAATACAAAGGGACTTGAGTTAAACCAAAGAAGGAAGTAGGGACCAAGTTATAGATGAGGAAATTCCACTGTACCTTGTAAATGTGATCGCATGGAGCGAGAATTGTACAATCTTATTCTTGTGTTTGTAATCATATGAAACTCGGTTAATTGTACAGGAGCTAGTATAATGATGAGCTCTATGTTTGATATTTTCATATTAGTTTTCAGATTTTGATATTAATATTTATTCGGTTTGAGTGATTGCTTGAAGTTTTATAATTTTCAATTCTTGGACCATTAATTGATTAGATTTGTGATTTCTATTAACATTTAAGAGAAGAAATATTAATTATAATACACAGTAATAATCATTTTTGAAAAGGAATGGAGATATACCGTCACTACAATAAAATTAGCTTCTTACGGCATTCTCCTACAACATGAATACAAGTCACGCCCTAAAAATAGATTATTTATGGCATGCCGTAAATAAATCAATTATTTAAAGTATTTACGGCACATACTTTGGGTTTAATATTTATAGCATAGTTCTCAAGCATGTCGTATAGATTGATAGAAAAAAATTTGAGAATTTAAAAAAAAAAATAAAATTATTTACTATGTGCATAGGTATATGTTGTAAAAAATATTTATGGCATACATGTTGCACACCATAACAATGCATAATAAAAAAGTTGGATTCTTTACGGCACACATAATTGCACACCTAAAAAAGATTTTTTTTTTTTTTTTGGGAGGACCAATGTCGTTGGCCTGCTGTCATTCCTTGCTTCCCTCTCCCTCCGCCTCTAAGTGCAAATTTCCAACTCTAAGGATAAGATGTAAATATCTCTAACGTTGAATTGCACGACTAGAAATGGAGGCTTTAGAGACGGTTTTTTACCAATGGAAGCCATCCATTGCTATTAGTAACGGATTACCAACGATTTTCCAATGAAATGTTATAAAAAAATGTATAACTATAAAATAAATGTGCTAGCAACGGAATTATCGACAAAATATAGCCGTCATTAAGATTTCGTTTTTAATTTGTTGGTAATTTAAAAAAAAATATATAAAAAATATTAAAAAATACCAACGACCATTGTGACGTACTAATTGTTGATTGTAAAATTGTAA